AAAGCAATTTTAGGGATGCCTTTAGAGGACAGTGCACAAGCATTAAGTAGGGTGACTTCGGAAAAAAGAAGGTATATTCCAGGATAAGACTTCTGCATGCTTGAGCTTCAGGGAGAGAGTTGTAATTAAACAATTCCTGAGAGCCCAGAGCAGGGCAAGGGGAGAAGCCCAGAGGGCATCCAAAGTTGCCTTCACCAATCTGACATTCTCCATTAGGCAGTAACAAGAGGAGACCAGAGCATAACCTAATGTGCTGGATGTCTGTGCTGCAACAAGAAAGGTGCCCTGGATTGTGAATTTATACATTTTAAACATAAACGACCCACTGCTCACCAACTCTGCCTAAGTCAAAACACTTTACTTCCTTAGGTACCTAAGCTAGTGACCACATAACAACTCTGATCTCTTCCCCTGTAAAATGCAGTGTTGCAGCTTACCATACTTTGTGTTGACTCATGCATCAAACCCCTTGATTTAAACAATATTCAAGTATAATTAGCTTAGTCTGCCATATTCTAATATTAACTGTCATAAGAAGTTTTACTGAGCACCTTACCTGTGCTAAAATCTTTCTCACCTGCTCTGAACTTCCCCCCCCCAATTATGTTGACTGTGGAAGAAAAGTTTATTCAACAAGTAATGCATGTTTGCATGTATGTATACATATTACAAATACACAGACATTTGTTTCTACATTTTTTAACTTTTCTGTGTCTTTTTTTTGTTCGTTCTGTACTGTTTAGTTTATTTCAATGCAGCTTACTGTGATACTAAACACTGCATCTTTTGTAGTGTTTTTACATTCTTAATTGAAAGCTGTGGAGGCCTGTGTAGATTCTTTGTCACCCATATGAGCACTTAATGTAGCTTACTTTATTCTATCTCCATGAGTCTTGTTTTAAGTGTTTTCTGTCTATCTTTTGCTTTTTGTGCTATGGGTTAGATCACGTACATGATGCTTTTGTTTTGATTTTGTGGACAGGTGACTCCCAAACTCGAGATCCTTTGTGATTTTCTTTGTCACTCCGAATACTCATACGAATCTATATTTTCACAACTTACTATGCTCTGTATCTCTGAGCAAAATTCATTTAATGTACTCTTGAAGACCAAACACAGTGTTTTGTTGATGTTGCTACAGTGGGTTTTCATTCCTATTTCATTGAATTAATACATTTTTGCCCAACAATAATACTGAGTTCTTCAAATATTTGGTGTCAGATGCTTTTGTCTTAGTCTTTTTCAAGAGTATTTTGGCCAACAAAATTGAGTCTTTGCTATTTTTAAATTGCTTCTCAGAGTAATTCTTAGTATCTGTCACATTGTAAAAATACTTGGTGTATGATTCTGAGGGGAAACAGTGGGGAGGACCTAAGGGATAATTTCTTAGCACCCATAATGATGGTGAAGTTTTGGTTTAGTCTGACCTCTGCTGGGTAAGTCTTGGACTTGGCTCTTCCTCTCTATCCCGACACAACACTGCTCTCCCTTTGTATTGTCAATAACTTCTCCACGACCAGAAATTCAAGTCTTGACTCTACAAGCACAGACTTCACCTAAATTCAAGTGACTGGTGTGCAGATGAAGAGAAAATGCCTTTCTATTCTTATTGTAATTATTTATTTGTATTGCAATTCGGTACCTGTTGTGTTGGGGACATAAAGTATTGTAAATACTGCAAAGCCTTAAACTCTGTGTAGTGAAAGAGGTGCAAAATACCTGCAGAATAAAATATTCTCCTACCTTTTATACTGCCAGCAAATTCTGTCAGTGAAATAATTGCGCACAAAAGAAGAATCCAGATTGTTAACTATTGTTTGCAAGAGAAACCTCACTTTGGAATTTGGGGAGTGTGGAGTAAATTATCTTTTGGGAGATTGGGAGCTTTTATTCCCTCTTTGTGCAGCAGAACCATTACCTTCCTTATCCTTGTAGTTATGTGTAGAAAAACTGAGTTAAGAACAACTTCTGTAAATGATGCATAAATTTAATTGATTTTTGTTTTAAAAATATCAACAAGGAAAAAAGAGATAGGAGTGATTCTTAACATTCTGTCATTCAGCCCTTGTCTGATGATGAGAACCTCTCTGCGTGTGTGTGTGTGTGTGTGTGTGTGTGTGTGTGTAAGGGAGTATGTATATAAATGGAGAAAACTGTTGGTAAAATAGAGCCCATCCATTCTGAAATGAATAGTCCCGTCTGCACCAAGGATGTAGTATGTTCTTTAGCATTTGAGTCACTTCTTTCTAGTGGTTTGATGTTAATCTCTGTTTTCCCAAGACATGGGGAGAGCAGTGGGAATTTATTTCCTGTCTACCTCCAAACCACTGCAGCTACCAGAATAGCCATAACTGTCTTACCACAGTGGCTAGTGAAGTCCCCCATGATGTCTGCAAGGCCAGACTGCCTGGGGGTTCTTCAAGACAAAGCTGGGTTACAGACCTGCTACCTGTCATCACTGAGGATGAGAAAAGGGAAAAAATGGAAATGTGGGGTACCGTATTCTCTCATGTCAGCTTGACTTGATGGAGGAGTGCTGTAAGGGAAATGGTGTGCATACGCTGTTGTGGCACACATTCAATAGGGAGCACTGTGCTATGTGATGGGGATGTAAGTGGTATTTGTTTTATGGGGTATTATGGAACTCTGAGAACTTGTTAAAAGCTGTGACTATAACTTGCTGATTTTTTTTTTCCCCTCAGCACTGATACCTATATGTTGTGAAACTAAGCTGATTTGTTAACAAGTAAAAAAACTGGAAGGAAAAAAACCCCAACCTTTTGAGTTTGTTCTAGCTGCTTTTATTTAGTTGTATTTTCCTTTAAATATGTAAAACAAAGGATGTCCTAGTGCGTGGGAAATAGAGTTTCTCATTTCTAACTAAGCTTATATTCTTCATATGGGAGGTACAAGCACTGGTATGAGGAGGATGGGGTTTGTGGAGGTAAACTGTAATACCTGGTTGTGTATTCTCAGGAGACATTATCTGTTGCCTGTGTAACTAAATGTATAACAAGAAACGAAGATTGGTAACCCATGGAGGCAATCACTGGAAAATTATCTACCTGGGGTCTCGTAAACTGTCTTGAGCTGCATCTTAATGAAGAGTTCTCAAGTGATGCATGCCTAGACTGTGAGAGACTATGGGTAGATATTAACAGGACATTGAGCTAATTGCTGACACAGAGCTGATTCTCCTTCTTTCTTGCCTTTGAACCTTAATTACATCCTGAGAATGAAGACTGGACCAAGAAAGAAAAATAAAATATAAAAAAGAACCCTATAGTACCCCAACCCACCCTCTCCCCCAAAGAAACAAAACCCCCAAAACAATCAAACCTCCAACCCAAAAAAGGGTTCTTGGGAATCAATTTTGGATAGCAGGTTGTGGGAATGAAGTGAGGGTGCTGCTGCCTGGAAGGAATTTGACTTCTGCAGTAAACTGGGTAGAAATTGTATCTCTCTGCACTAGCAGGTTGTTCCATGACTAGAAGTGCTGAGCAGCATTTGGAGGCTATGGATTCCACCCTGCTTCCAGTCCTGCCATCTTCCAGGCCAGCAGATGAGTCCTGTGTCCAAACAGATGCATGGAAAATGTGTTCAGGATGCTCAGTCCATCCCTTCATTCCCCATGGTCAAGTGAAGAGCCTTGTTAGTTTTGTCTCTTTGGTCTGGGTAGCCAAGGGACCACTGTGCTGTTGGTCTGCCCTGGTCATAGACTTGTCCAGTTTTGCTTTGAAGGAAAAGCATTTTCCAGACACCTTCCCCTTTAAAAGCCAGGGCTTCATTATGGATGCTGTCAGCATCTACTGGCAACCCCCTCAGGACAGGTCTCTCTCTCTCTCTTTTTTCCTTTAAATCTTTTGTTTGTTTGTTTGTTTAGCTTAAATCTTAAGAAATTACATCTGTTTCCTGATTGCTGTAGATTTTTTTCTCTCAGGAATTTAAAAACTGTCTCTTTTTTTTCTTCACAACTGTTTAGATCCCTCCCTTCTGCCTCCTCCACTCCCACTTCCTTCATTTTCCATCTCATTCTGAAGAGCATTTCCCCTTTCTCATTATATTATGTGTGCTCTTTTGCTCTCCCCCATCACTATCAACCCTCCCCCCCCCCCCCCCCCCCTCCTTTCAGGCAGGATAGAGCACACTTTATCTTCTTTCTGAATCTTAAGCAAAACCTTTCTGATCTCTCTGTGTGTTCTGGAGCAGAACATGCCAGGATCGGAACACGGTGAGGCTGAAAGCAAAATCACTGAAGCAATGATTGAGAGTCATCTTGAAAGTAGAAAGTTAACTTTGTGATTCATTATCTTCTACACAAGAGCTAGAAAGTTCTTTCCGTGACTGTACATTTAAAGTGCTTGCATTTTGAATAAGCTCAGGACGTTTATTTGAATATGTAAGACACTGGTGTGAGAGTTTTCAAGTGCATTGTTCAAGCACATTTATGTGTTTTGGAGTCTGCCATTTGTCACATCAAAACACTTAAATTGCTCTGTCTTTTTGGTTTTGTTGGGTTTTGGTTTTGGTATGTTTTCTTTCTCTTTTTAAGGGGGTGCAGTGGGATTAGTCAGAGAATCAAGATAATGGCTTTAACAAACGGAAATAGTTTGTATGAATAAGTCTACAAGCAGCTCCTCATTCAAGCATTATTAGAAACACATTTTAAATCACTTTCACCCATACAGTTTTGTGTGCATCCTTTGGGTTTTTAATAGAAGGTGGTACAAAATTAACTCCCAAGGTGAGGAATTCTCTTTCTGAAGAGGTTGCATGGTGTCATCTGCGGTATTTCTGAAAGATCATAATTTTTTTTTTCCCCACATGCTTTTTGTGGCAGGTCTCTACAAAAGTATGAAATCCAGTTAGATAAAGCAGAAATTCGGGATGAAGTTTCTAGCTAAAATCCTTTTCTGCCTCTGAAAGTTTAGCTGTGTGTTAGTTTACTATATTTTCAAAAAGTTGGTGCTACTTTTTAATGGACATGTTATTTTTTTCAGCTAATAGCTGGTTAATGAATAGCCCTGACTGTTGGAAGGTTACAAGAATGATGCATCCAATACAAGAGAGGCATGGGGACATTTCCAGTGGTATGTCTACCTTGTTTTGTAAGACAATATCCATCATTAAATTGACATTTAAAACAGCTGGTGTTGTGTGCTCATCTTTGTGAGAGGCAGCAATGTCACAGGACTTTCTCTTTTACATCTCGGTAATAGATAGTGAATGTTAAATGATGCTATTAAGGATCTGGACTCTTATCAGAGACAGTAGAAAAAGTTGCAGATAGTCTATATTGTTGATGACAGAGCTCAGGCATAAGATCACAGAGATGACAGACAAATGCCTGAATGTTGTGTCCGGGGTTCAAGAACCTGTCCACCGGTTGGATCCTCTTTTCACAGTGCTTGTTTACTATTGCTGTTTGTTATGTTCACTAGCAGTGAGAAAATGACAGCTTTTCACGGGCTTTGAGCATTGATGAGCTTTAAGGCAAAACCACAACAGATCTTTAAACAGTCTTGGAGCTTTTGCCATGGAGCAACCAGAACTCATTTTTCCAGAGTATTTTTGTATGCGTTAGAAATGGGTGACACAGAATGTTTTCTTAGTATAATTTGTTCACTTACAGAAAGTTACCCTTTTCTGTTCCCTTGAACATCGAAGTAGGAACAAACTGAGGGCTGGCAGTCCCCTCCTACATAAATGCTTGGTTAGGCACTCCGAATCTTATTCGCAGGATCAAATTGTCTGCTCCTGAGACTCTCACCTCATTCACTGAAGTTAAGCAGCATTGTACCAGGTCCCAGCCTGACCTGAAAAACCCTTCTAGCTCCACATTCTTCCAGCAGCAAGCCTGGGCTGCTAAGCTTGACAGTGTCCTTCTGAGCTGATAAGCAACTCACAAGGTGGGAAGGATGAAATCATGCTTTAGACAGCATCACCATTCTGGTTCCTTTGCTTGGGGCATGACTTTATCACTTCAGAATCAAGATTTGAAATTAAAAATAAACATTTTCAAAGCAATCCTGCAGCCCCGCAGGGGTTTGTCTTAATTCTTACTGCTTTGTAGCCTGTCTTCCAAGTATTCAGATGCTTCTCCAGCTAACATCCTTCCCACAGTTGCCTTCTGGTAGGGGCCTGATTCTGAAGACAGATGCACTTGGGGTCTTTGAGTCCTACCTCTTGCTACTGCTGCAGGTGACTGTTAAACCTTTTCATAAATCACTCTAGATCCATTTTAAAACCACATTTTGTCCTCATTGTTCCTCTTAGAAGACTGTGCGTTACTCACTGCTGTCATAGCTAGTGATTCTCAGTTCCAGTCTGAATTTTCTGTTTGCTGAAACAGTACTGTTTTCTGGGTGATGCACAGTGAGCATCTCCCCAGTGCTGGCAGACTTGGCTCTTTACTGTTTGTTCTGCCTAAGTGCATAGCTTTAGTAAAGTGATAAACTTCTATGGTGCAAAATTAGGTGTATTTTAAGGTTTATGTTTTAGATTAGAAGAAGAATTCTTGTAACGGTCACATTAGATGCTGACTAAGTTTTTGGATAGAATCTGTTCTGTAGTGTATCCGCTGTCTCCTTTTGGTTTCTTTTCAGTTTGTTTTTAATTTGGGTGTGATGGACAAGATCTCTGTCTCAGACTTAAAATATTTCTGCTTTCTTTTTGAAACATTTTTTCTAGCTCTTTTTTTTTCTTGCATGCATGAAGTGCTTAATACCCTCCATCTGCATGAAAATCTTTTGTATATAGCTCTGAAAGCTCCCTTAGGATTGTAGACTTTTTTAAATGGAGCGATTTAAACATTTTCCACACAAATGGGCACTTGGGGCAAATGTCATTATAAAAATCGTAAGAATATTTGTTAGATATTTTCACTGGGTTTTGTTGTTTGTTTTTTCTTTTAAGACCTACCTCTCCAGTCACAGTGGAGATTACAAGTCAAATAGAATCAGCATGATTTATGTTACTGGCAGAGAAGTAAGGAGTTTGTAAGACTGAGAAGGTAGACATTAATAAGAAAGAGAAACAATAGACAGTCTTCTCTGCTTTAGTCAACACAGAACAGGTGTTGAAGCTGATGTAATGGCATTGCTACTTTCCTACTCTGAGTTGTACATACATATTTATAAACACATGCAAATCAATAAAAAATTGAGTTTGCAAGATAAATTAATAAAACAGAGATTGAGATGCAGAACAAAGCAAAAAATTCAAATCCTGCTCAGACTGAATGAAAGTTTTCATTTGAAACTAATGTGTTAAGATTCTCAAGTTTCAATTGAGGAGATATATAATCTGCTGGATATTCTTGTAAGGACGTATATTGAAACTTGTGTTGTAAAATTTGAGGCTTATGTACAGTTGACTAGTAGACAGAGGCTCTATTTTGTGGAGGTTTTGGGATTCTAAGGAAATTTTTTTCCGATTTGAAGCAGAGCTCCAAAGTAGTCAGATTTCATGTGGAAGAAAATCCTAAACACAATATTTTTAGATCACATGAAATACTTAATTTCAGTGGATCAGACTGTTTTGTTTCAAATATGACTGTTTAAATGTTTTAAATTGTTGCTCTACCTAATGCAACCTTTCAGAAGAAACTAATTTGAAGGGAGAAAAAGAAACACTTCATGTAGGAATGCAGTAACAGGAAGTTCTGACATTTGTCAAAATATTTCTCCCTCTTTCTAAAATTAATATTTCACAATATCAGAATGGTTTTCTGATACATTTTAATATCAGTGGAATTGTATTATACACAGTAGGATTTCTGCCATTCTTTGTGACTGTGCGTCATCTGTGTTTTGGGGAGATACTCCAGCAGTGGGTGGAGAAATGCAGGATTCTACCTGTCTTCTCGTGCATGTTTTTTTCCATTACAGTGGTCAGTATCTGATGTCTAATAGACATTCCTTGGGAAACTCAGTTATTGCTGTTGATGGTTTTTAACACATCTTTGGTACTAATGATGAAAATGGGTATATGCTGTCTCTGTTAGAACAGCACTATTTTTAAACACATTCTTAGAATGTGGGCTTGCTACTTATATCCTTGTTTATTCCAGTGACGTGTCCTTACTTTGTTCAAGTCTTGATGGTCTATTGGATACAACAAACTACACTTGCTTTTGCAAAACTTGCCCCTTATAGTTAAAACCACCACTGATAGACTTGAACCCAGATGGAATGAAAGCAGATGGAATTTAGTAAGCCTTTTTAAAGCCCTTTGAAAATTTCAGCTGTCACATGGACTTTCTGTCAGAATAGTGGCTGTGTCAGTCATTTTTGTGATGAGTGGCCATATTACCATGGAGTTTCATGATAACTGAACAATTCTTACCTATAACTGGTGGCTCCCAGCACAGGAGGCCCTGCTTCTCCATTGCCTGTGGCATACTGCCTCCTACTTTGCTCTGAGACAGGACCTTCTCTGTCTTAACAGGGCATCCAGTCAGGGTTTGGCATAAAATATCCATTATTTTTTTTGGCAGGACTAGCCTTCTGCTAGGTTAGCTCCCTAAACTAACCCATGGGAGAGGATCAAGCATAAATGGAATGGGCAAGGAGAGCAACAGATAGCATTTAGGTTGGTTAGCTCTGTTATGCAGTTAGGCATCTATGATGAATGCTTTGGCACATGACAAGCATTGTCTGTGCAAGGACTTCCATTTTCCTGTGAACAAAGGAGTAGTAGCCCAGAAAACCACCAGCATGGGGATGGATTCCTCATGCCATCCGAAGTAGCCATGATGACATCCAATAGCATTTTCAGTACTGATCCAGAGGATCTAGCTGAAAATAGTTGTTAGCACTGACTTTGTTTTCCACTGTAGGTCAGACTGGGATGGCTTGGTCTGTTTGAGTCTTACCCAACATACCAGTTGGTAGAGCGGCTGAACAAGGGTTGAGTGCTGTGAGCTGATTTTGAGCACGTAGCTCAGCTTTGGTTTCTCCAGAGCTGTTCAAGGGAGTTTGGTTCTGGTTCCTCTGCAAACTCAAACGCTTTGCCTAATAAGATCACCATATTTCCTAGTAAGGTGTTAGCACAGATTGAGTACATAATTTCCATCATGTGCATCTGAGTGAGTGTTTTCAAGGGCAGTATGGGTATGTACGGTCTTTTTATTGCCTGTTTAACCCTATCTCTCTCTTGTTAATGAAAGACTTCTGGCATGGGAATGAGACCATTTTGTGTAAACTATTCAGTAAGGTTTTCCAGATGCTTAAATTTCAAAATAAATGAAAAAAAATCTAAGAGGACCAAACGTGTATCTAGGATATGGCAAGTACTAGGGGCTGTATAGGCAGTCCAGAGCTCACTCTGGCCTGGGCAGCTCTGTTAACATAAGCTGTGTAACTGCTGCACCACAGTGTTCGACACAGACTACAAAAACTATTTGAATGGTGAGTGAGTTTCCCCACATGGGCAGTGTGAAGCTGACCCAGGCCCATTTCTGTCAGGAACAGTTACAGCACTGAATGTACCACAGGTTTCTCAAGTAGCTTTCCAACATCCTGACCACCCCTTGCTTTTGAATTGAAGCTGTTTCCCTGGTGCCATTTTGGGAAACTTGATGATTAGTCTGCAAGAGTTAGGTGTCCTGGATCTGTCCTGGAGCTTTTCCTGGTGGCTGGAAGAATCCAGATGTGCTGGAGTTCCTACTGGTGAGTGCAGGGTCTTGAATTTAGTTCTTGCTGTAACTAATTTGCTCGATGATCATCTGTTAATTCAGTTCTGGTTGACATTTTTAAACCTGCATCTGAGAGAGATGAGAAGTTGGAACAAATCAAGGGCCTAGTCTAGCCTAATCCTTGCCATAATCTTTCCTATTTAGCAATGAAGCAGAAAAGAACAAAAACATCTGTAAGCTTCCAGCTTCAGAATTTTAGTATCTGGGCAAATCCTGTAAGTGGAGGTAGTAATTAGATGACTCCAGGCTTTCAGTTAACAGAAATTATGTGTAGAAAGCTAAGGAATCCTTTGCTTTCAGATACTGCAGAAATATGTGCGCACCAGATTTTTTGTTATTTTCTTTAAATACAAACAAGAGATGCCAATAGAAATTATGGCTTTTGATTATAGG